TTAAACCAACTTTTAAAGTTATTTCCCTCTCTACAACTTTATGACTGTGTGTTTCATAAATTTTACTGACCATGTTTATTAATTCCCTGCTACTATTTTACTTTGAAGATGCTTTTTTTATTTCCGAGGGTAAAATCTGCTTTTCTCTATTTTGTGTTTGATTCTTTAAAATAATCATTTGCATTTCATTGTTTCACCCTCACTGCAGCTTTGGGTTTGTACTATGGGCTTGGCTATATATTCCTGTGTGTTGATTTTTACTGACTTCACTTAATTTGATCTAGTTTTTAATGTGTTCTCCATTTCCCCATTTTATCATCATGTACAAGAATGTGTCTTACAAAATTTCTACATTCTATTTTAACATTTTGCCACCAAAACATAAAACATTATGTATGTACACACACACACACACACACACACACACACACACACACACGTATTGTTTGCTGGGGAATGGCCCAGAGGGTAAAGTGCTTGCCATACAAGCATGAGGCCCTGAAATCATATTCCCAGAACCATGCAAAGCCAGATGTGGAATCTCAACACTCCTTATGGAGAGATGGGATGCAAAGGCAGAAAAGTATCCAGAAACTCAAGGGACAGCAAACCTATTACACAGTAGTGGACAGGAGACCTGTCTCAGATAGGGTGGAAGGCAGGGCTGACATTCAGTAATAACCTCTGACCTCCACGAATGCACTTTGGCATACCTTATTGACACATGTGAATGCATACATGGACACACTTTTTAAAAATATCTATCTGATAAAGGGTAAAACAGTCTTATTTTTTTCTATTTCCCCTCCTCACTTTTCAAGTTCTAACTTGTACCCCTTCTTCTGTCTTTTTTAACCCCTTGGCTCCCTTCACTCCTTGCTAAATCCAGCAATACCTGGCTTTTTTTTAACTTCTCAAAAGCCAAGATGGAATCCTAGCAAAGAAACTGTTGAATAACATGCTGATGAATTTGTAGAAGTAACACAGAATCCCTGAGGCTTCTCTGACAATTAGTAGACCAGAGCAAGATCACAGGGAAAGACTAAACACCTAGACACGAGATTGTTGAGGTTTAGGTCAGTCTTACTTTTATTTTTCTTGTTATTTTGTTGTTGTTAAGTGACTGTAACTACTCATTAGCATGTTAAGTCAATAACTCATTACATAATACTTGACAATCAAAACGAAATCATGTTGGTTCATGAAAGAAGTGACTATGTTTCATTACACACACACACAGAAAGAGAGAGAGAGAGAGAGAGAGAGAGAGAGAGAGAGAGACAGACAGACAGACAGACAGACAGACAGACAGAGACAGAGAGACAGAGAGACAGAGAGAGAGGAACATTTACTCAAAGGAAGATTAAATGATTGGATTAAATTGCCTCAAGATTTTGGCTAGCAGAATAAACTTATACTAGAGGTCAAAATCATCCTCCCCATGATAATAAGCCCTTTAGTTTTTATAAATGGTGAAAATAAACAGAGCTTAAAAAAAAACCCTAATCATGCCTACTCTGGGGCTTCTGAAAGGATTTTGGCCTCTAATCTGTCTGGAAGCTTCAGGTGGGCATTCTCATGAGAGGTTTCTCCCAGAAGCAGCCAGCATACTTACCAAGGTGAGTGGTTGCTTGGGGGTCTGGTGGTACCGCTACTGAGGAAAGTAAGCTAAATGTGTTAGGATCTGATGCTCCAAGTGACCCTCTGCTGTTATTTCTTTGATGTTTCTCCCTCTATCTTTGGACTTTCTGCCTGAAGCTGCTCTTCAATCATTTTCTAAAGAGCTTTTATTTCTCCTCCAGTGGTCACTGCTTTCCATTTTGACACATAATACACTCCATCATGTGTCCTATACTTCCCATAATATGTTCACACTGAACTTTTGTACTTTCATCTGCCTCTGACTGCTCTGAAGAGTTTTATTTACCCTTCAGCACTCACTGATGAATAAAATTTGACCTAAGATTACCTCCAGCTCCGAGGCAGTATGTGTTCCTTTCTCTTTGTTCACACTGCATCCTATACAAGCCCCTATCAAATACTTCACATGTTTTTTGAGAGGAGGCTTCATCTCTTTCATGTTATCTTGGTGCTGAACACAGTATCTCATCAGCAGTAGATTCTAAAAAATCAAATCAATGAAATACTGTAAAAAACAAAAACAAAAACAAAAACAAAAAAACCAAATCTGCTCTGAAACCCAGGGTGGGTTTGAAGGAATTCTCTGTCTTGCTGAGTTTCATCGACATCAAACAAGTTGGAAAAGAAACTGACGGCCTGGTAATTATCTGATTGCAGCTAGAGACCCCTGAGAGCAAGATGGATGTGAAGATAGGGAGGACAGATGAAGGACAGAGACCTAAGAGTCCATGACACTCACCCACTAACATGAGTCTCCTAGAATCTTAAGGAAAGGCTGGTCTGCTGTACAATAATATATCTTCACTTCTAAAATATGCACACATTAAAGGTCCTTGGTAGGTAGCAGGATTTAATTACTTTTAAAGAGTTTTTAAGGAACTCCTAAGGAATAAGATGATCTCTAAAACAAAACTAACTCTTGTGTCATGATTTCTGCTTATTTAATTGAGTAAAACATTTAACAAAGGATGGGTTAGTAGATGTCAGTGAGGTAAGAAAGTGGTTAAGTAACAATACTGTTTTATTTTCAGATGTGTTTAGCTGTCTCCCAGAAAGAGGATTCAGTGACAATGACATGCCTTTTCTTATTCAATACTTATACTAATGGTTCAAGTCACCATAATTCCTGTGTATAAAATCCACAACTACTACAAGGTTAAAGGGTGATAATGGTAAGAAAATAGAGTTAAAGGACCAGAAGGCCACAGTTCCAAAAGAGAAGTCACCACATATAAACGCAGATGCTTATATTCAGATTCCAGATAGTTATCTTTCAGTAGTATAACCCGTCCATACTTTTACAGAGTCTATCCCAGTACACCTGTGACTCTAGAAGAGGCAACACAGCCTCATTGTTTATTTTCTCAGGTGAAGACTCTGAAACAGCCATAAAATTAACTGGGGTTGGAACTGAATTAGGACTCTAATCAGTGTTTGTTACACTGCCTAGTTGGTTCAGTGATCATACAAAAAAAGAATAATTATGGTAACTTCTGGAATACATCCTTAGCTTTACAAGGTATAGCAGCATAAGAAGGCAGTGATGAGAAATGTTAAGAGTCTGTAAACTTATCAGTAAAGCACAATGCAATATTGACTCTCATTTGAGGTGTTAACAAAATCCCTGAGAGAAGACAAACTTCCTTGAGCTCTCCAAAAGGTTTTCAGAACTCAGATGGATTAATAAGAATAACAGATTTTGACTTAAAGTAAATAATTTTTATAAGTGTTGTCTATCAGCATTAATGAGAAAATCCTTGAGGAGTGTCTAACGAAATCTGAATAAATGGTGAGAGCCAATGTAGGTGACCATCTAATTTCCTGTTAACTAAGAAAAGAACCTTTGATTCAACCTGTGCTTGCTGGGGTTGGGGCTGAGGGCTGTTGTGTGTCTTCATCACAATTGCTACTAAGACAATATCTTCATGAATCATCAGTACACATAAGCAAACCTTAAGTGGGAGGTAATACCCCTATCACTGAGTTCCTGGAATGTAGCCAGCTAATGCCATATGCATTGCCACACTCTGCAGGCTGGACAATTGAGAGTACATAGAATAACATTCTATGAAATCCTTGATCCAAACCTTAGTGTTGTATAATTTGGTTCTTGTGTCTGATCATGCAGCATGACCAACAGACAGTGAGAGGAAGTGAGGAAGAGTATCGAAAATGGAAGTGAATATTGGTGGCTTTTTGTGTCTTGGTTCATTCATCCCCCTCTGCTATTAAAGAAGGTAGGGCATTAGATGGCTTAAAGGGGATTGTCAGGATTATTGACAATCTGAAGATAGCTTCTTGAAGATATTAGAATAGGAAGTGAAGGCTGATCGTAAGCCTTTATGGTAAGCTCACACAGTCAGCCATTGCACATACAACATGTGGAAGAGCAGCTGTGTCAATGCCTCTGCTTGCTGTACAGGAATTCTACTATTTTTGGTGAGACACAATCATTCAGCAATTTCCATACAGTGAGTTGTTCATACAATGATTAGGAAAGGTGTTTCAATCCAGTGGCTTTTAAATAAAAGCAATGCACCTATCAACTAATATTTTGTGCTTTTCTAGCATCTGGAACATTAAATACATTTTGCAAGTAATGGATACTTATGAACTGAGAAAATTACAATGTTACATAGTTATTAACCCATTCTACTTAAAACATTTTTAAGTCACATATTTTCTTTTTATACGCTAAACTCTGTCATCAAGCTGAAGACAGTCTTGACCTTTTAAATCACATATTTTCATTTTATGTACTAAACTCTGTCTGTCATCAAACATGAAGACAGCTTACTCTTAATTTAGAACATGCTCTCATTCAGAAATGTTCAAGAAGAGACTTGGGAAAAAATTCAGTGATAGAGTATTTTCCCAGCATGTGCAGAACCTTGGGTTCAATCTTAGAAATGCAAAAAAGACGAGGGGTGGTAATAGAGGCAGGAATGTATAATAGACTTTTTTTCCTGGAATGAGAAAACACTCTCAAGTCACCTGCCAAGGAACTCGTACATTTATATTAAAAATGATCTCTTCTCAGAGATGCTAGAAATGAAACTCTTTGAGAGGAAACTCAGATAGGGATGTCAGGGAGGTAGAGTGAGTGTAGAGAATGGGATAGAGGTCAAGAAATGAATGAGAAGCTCAAGAATGAAAGGGAGGTAACAGAGAGCAGAAGAAGGGTTGTAGCACATGATGACCTGTGTAAAGAGAACCAGAAGACAAGGCAGAAATAGGGAAACCTGGGTAGCCCAGAGTCTGAGTGAGGAGCTAGGGTCACTGGAGTGAAAATCAAAATACAAGAAAAAAAACCACTAAGCATCGATTAACAAAAATCTTTCAAACCTACAAATGAGGACCCAGGTTCTTCTGCTTGTCCCTTGTTAAGTGCTCCAGATTTTCATGTTTCTTTGTCATTAAATTATGTAAGATGATGAACAAATAAGTTTCATTAATGAAAGTACATTAAAGTCACAAGAGCTAACAGCCCACAATTTCACCATAATTGTAACTAAAAAAATTATAGCATAGCAGTCAGTAGGTAAATTTTAATATTACCATTTAATTTAAAAGACAGTGTTGTGTTTGGCGCCACTCTGCCCTCTGCTTGAGGTGACTGTCGGAGCTGCTCCGGCCCCAACTCCCACCATCACCCCATCATTGCATATTCCTGGGCCTGCTCCTCCAGTAAAGTGGACCTGCCCAGGCAGGGAGGACCACTGTGAGTCCAGACAGACCTCACCCTCAGTTCCCCCTCCACCCTCTGCCCTATGCTTGAGGTAAGTGTGGGTGCTGCTCAGGCCCCAAACTGCCACCATCACTCCTCCTTAGATCTTCCTGGGCCTGCACCTCATATACAGTAGACCTGCCCAGAAGGAAAGCCCACCCTGAGTCTGGCCACACCTCACCCTTGGCCCACCCCTGCCCCCGCTTGAGTGAGGAGAATACCAGGAGAGGCCAGACCATCCAGAGTTGCAGACACTGAAATCTTGGCCCACATATGCCACCAGAATACTAGAGGAGAGGGAGAGACCTCACCTGCATCCACTCAAAGAAGATATGGGAAGATGACAGTATAGGAACACACTCAACAACAGAAAGACCTATATGACACCACCAGAATCTAGGGACTCCACACCACAGAGACCTGAAAAGCCCAACACGAAGAAGAAGAAGAAGAAGAAGAAGAAGAAGAAGAAGAAGAAGAAGAAGAAGAAGAAGAAGAAAAGAAGAGATGGACCTTGAAAATTATCTTATAAAGATGATAGAGACCCTTAAAGAGGAAACTAGAAAACCCTTAAATAGAAGAAAAAACAAATAAAACACATGAAATGGAGAAAAAGACAAACCAAAAATTTTAAAAATAAACAAATCTCTTAAAGAATCTAAAGAAAGCCAAGAAAAAAACAAACAAACAAATGAAGGAAACAGTTCAAGGCTTGAAAGCTGAAATAGAAAAAATAAAGAAAACACCGAATGAGGGATGCTGGAAATAAAAAAGCTGGGTAAATGACCAGGAACCACAGATGTAAGTACAATCTACAAAATACAAGAGATGGAAGAGAGCTCTCAGGTGTTGAAGACTCACTAGAGGATATACAGTCATCTACCAAAGAAAACCTCAAGTCCAACAAATTCCTAACACAAAATATCCAGGAAATATGGGACACCGTGAAAAGGTCAAACCTAAGAATAATAGGTATAGAAGAAGGTGAAGAAATACATATTCAATAAAATCATAGAAGAAAACTTCCCCAACTTAAAGAAGGATATGCCTATGAAAGTACAAGAAGCTTACAGAACACCAAATAGACAGGACCACAAAAAGAAGTCCCCTCGCCACATATTAATCAAAACACCATAATTATAGAATAAAGAAAAAATATTAAGAGGAATAAATGAAAAGAGCAAGTAACACATAAAGGCAGACCTATCCGAATTACACCCGACTTCTCAATGGAAACTTTGAAAGCCAGAAGGTCCTGGATAGATGTTCTACAAATGCTAAGAGATCATGGATGCCAGCTCAGACTACTATACCCAGCAAAGCTTTCAATCAATATAGATGGAGAAAACAAGATATTCCATGACGAAACCAGATTCAAACAATACATATCCACCAATCCAGCCCTACAGAAAGTTCTGGAAGGAAAGCTGCAACCCAAGGAAGTTAACTACAACCAGAAAAATATAGGCAATCGATGACCCCACTTTACCAACAGCCAAAAGGAAAAAGGGATAGAATCCCACACATAATCTTGCCACCATCACCAAATCAAAAACAAACAAGAATGAACAATCAATGGTCATTAATATCCCTCAACATTAATGATCTTAACTCCCCTATAAAAAGACACAGATTAGCAGAATGGATAAGAAGACAGAATCCTTCCTTCTGCTGCATACAAGAAACACACGTCAACTTCAAAGACAGACGTTACCTAAGAAGTAAAGGTTGGGGAAAGATTTTCCAATCAAATGGACCCAAGAAACAAGCGGGGGTAACAATCCTAATATCCAACAAATTGGACTTTAAACTAAAATCAATCAAAAGAGATGAAGAAGGTCACTTCCTACTCATCACAGGAGAAATCCATCAGGAAGAAGTCTCAATTCTGAACATTTATGCCCCAAACACAAAGGCATCCACATTTGTAAAAGAAACATTACTAAAACTCAAATCACACATAAAACTGCACACACTTATAGTGGGAGACTTCAACACCTCACTCTCACCACTAGACAGGAACATCAGACAGAAACCCAACAAAGAAACAAAAGAACTAATAAAAGTTATGGCGCAATTGGACTTAACAGATATCTATAGAACATTCCTTCCAAATACAAAACAATTTACATTCTTCTCAGTGTCACATGGAATATTCTCTAAAATCAACCACATACTTGGCAATATAGCAAACTTCCGCAGGTACAAAAAAAATAGAAATAACCCCCTGTGTCTTATCAGACCACCATGCTTTAAAATTAGAATTCAACAACACGAAC